CGCTCCGTTGATACTATACTGGACTTTATTCAAAGAAAAGGTTCTATCACTCATATAAAAATATGTGCCACACATAGTCATCGCATCTTACCTGCAATCACCATGGTTCAGTCAATCGCTTAAACGACTACGCAATAAGAAAAAATGCATTTTCAGCTCTGCGAAGGTAACTGGCACTCAAGAACGTTGGAGTGATTATCAGGCCGTAGCTACGGAATACAAACAAGCCCTAAAAGATGCTAAGGATTCATTTTTCAATACTACATTACCATCTCTTTTAATTACCAACCCTAAGCAATTTTGGAATGTAGTGAACAAAAGAGGCAATTCCTCAATCACCCTTAAAGATGCAAACAATCGTGTAATCAAACTTGATGAATCCACAAATATTCTAAACTCTATATTTGTTTCTGCTTTTTCACAAAATGTGTGTCCCGTGACTCCCACATATGGTAGTTCGAGTTTCTTAACAATGGACCCCATTGTCTTTGATGCTGCCGGTATAGAAAAAATCATAAAAAATCTAAAAGTTTCATCATCATGTTGTGTTGATGGCATCAATTCAAAGTTTTTAATTAGTACCAAAGTGTACAGTGCCATCATTCTCACTAATATATTTCAGCAATCGCTTCATACCGGTTGCATTCCGGAAGACTGGAAGGTAGGGAAGGTGAATCCCATGCACAAGTCTGGGGATAGGCATTCTCCATATAATTATCGACCAATCTCACTCACATGTATTTCATGTAAAGTTATGGAACATGTTATTTGCTCTCATCTCGCATCTTTCCTACAGTCAAACTTCTTTTTTACAGATCACCAGCAAGGATTTCGCAAGTCATTTTCATGTGAAACACAACTTTTGACATTCACACATGACCTAAATTCCATTCTTGACAGGGGTTCCATTGTCGACTGCATATTCCTAGACTTCTCAAAAGCGTTCGACAAGGTTTCTCATCAACTGCTTCTTTTAAAACTCTGCAAACTTGACATTGATCCGAACGTTCTTCAATGGCTTCACTCTTTTCTCACTGATCGTTCCCAATTTGTCACTGTGAATAACACCTCATCCATCACTTCTGCAGTTGAATCGGGCTTGCCTCAAGGCTCTGTGCTGGGACATTTGCTTTTCCTCATCTACATAAACGACTTACCTGATAATCTATGTTCATCAATAAACCTGTTCGCTGACGACTGTGTTATATACCGTATTATTAACAGCGACTCTGATGTCTATCTTCTTCAATCAGATATAAACTGTGTTCGTGACTGGACTAACACGTGGAACATGGAGTTAAACACTAACAAATGCAAGCACATGCGCGTTTCACGTCGCGATACAACATTGCCTTCTTATCATCTTAACAATACTAACCTAGAAACTGTATCATGTTACAAATATCTAGGCGTGCTCATCACTTCTGATCTTTCCTAGAAGATGCATGTAACACATGTAACGAATAAGGCTAATCGCACGCTGGGCTTTATACGCCGTAATTTTCATCTTTCTTCCTTTCCAGTAAAATTACTTCTGTATAAATCATTAGTACGTTCCAAAATGGAATATGCTTCATCTGTGTGGGACCCCAGCCAAGGAACACTCATTGATCAGCTTGAATCCATCCAGAGTCGGGCTGCTCATTTCATTCTTTCCAACTATCATCGCACCTCCAGCGTCACTTCCATGAAAACAACTTTATCATTACCTCTGCTCTCACAACGTAGAGAAATATCTCGCCTCTGCCTGTTTCACAAGGTATATTACCACAATTCAGTCCTTAAGAATTAATTGATAACCCCTTCTTCTTACGTATCCGCTCGCATCGACCGTCGTCATAAGGTTGGCATTCCCACATGCCACACCAACCATTTTTACAATTCATACATCCCCCATAGGTCAGCAAGTTGGAATCACCTTCCCCGATCTGTAGTCGGGATGTCTAATACCTCTATGTTTAAGGCTGCTCTAACTAACCTGTCGACATAATTTTTAGGAATATAGTATTTCCATTTTTCAGTAGACCTGTTAAGCTTTGTAATTCTTTAATACCTGTTTTTGTTCTTATAATGTGCATTATTTATTGTTGTTTTCCTTCACTGATCCATGTAACCACCAATTTTCCGCTTTTTCATTATGTTGTGTAACCCACTCCCCTCTGTAATGCCCTCGGGCCCTGAGGGTATTGAATAAATAAATATATAAAAAAATTAATAAACAGACAAATAGATATAAGAGACCACCGGCGTGCTTACTGTAAATACCTGTGGATAATAAAATTCATACGGGGTACCGTGCTTATAAGAGACAGCTCGTATAAAAGACAAGAATGGCTGTCTGGAGCATGCCTCTTATAAAGGGGTTTATCTATATTTGTATAGTGTGTAGAAAATCAAAGTGGTCTACAGTGTATAAGTTTGGGTCTTGTGTTTAGTTTCACCATCGTGTGCACTTATGACAAAGTATTAGTATTTAAGTTAACTTTTTTTTTCTAAGTAAACTAGTTGCAAGTTTGTGCTCTTGGTGTCTTTCCCGTGTCTAGTGTTCGGCATTAAACATGAAAACTACAAGAGCTTGTATTGAAACACCAAGTGATTGAGACCAGCTTAAGACCACTTCAACTTTGGTGCTCCTTCATCTGCACTGTCGCTCTGACTGTGAAAAAGAGCTTCTAGCTAAAGTTTGCACAACTTGTTTCATGTTGTAGCATTACAATGAAATATAACAGGACATCACTTGTTTTTCTCACAGAATTTTATGGAAAGGAGTCTTGTAGGGATGCTGTAATATTGCAGCATGTGCAGAAAGATAAGGGATTCCTTTTGTGGAAATGAGAGCACCAGCAGAAACATTTTCCGCTGATAATTGCAGTTGTACTCTATAATATTGTGTGTTTGTTACCGAAGGCTTTCACACTACGAAAGATGCTCACCCGTAAAAAATAGAACACAACTGCTACGGTAGATTGCTGATGAGTTAGTATTTCATAAGGGGCTGTACTCATGATAAATCACTTTAGGCATAATCACTTTCAGAACATGTTAGCTAAAATGGTAAGAGTGATTATGACAGGATTAATGCACCTGGTTGAGTAGCTTTACTCTCAGATTTTATAGCCATAATTATTAAGTGAACTGGCCTGATTGATGATTTTTTGCAATGAAATTCACTTTGGGACAATAAGTGAAGTATAGCTGGAAGCTTTCATGTGCAAAACCAGACTGCAGGGCCACACACTTGAGTTGTGTTTTGGCGCAGCTGCTATCTTGAATACCGAGATGCTTTGAGAGATGTTACCACTGTATAAATCATAAAACATGTGTCCACTAAACTTGTAATGCCATTACTGTTTAAAATTTTCTAGTGATACATTTGATAAAACTGTTGCTTGGGCGAGTTGGTTCATGATCCAACTCATCCAAGCAACAGTTTTAACGAAGTTTATTTCGAATACACAGGGCCATTTTAACTGTTTTCTTGTGGATCCTTCTCTCATCATTTCGTTTCTCGCCGTGGCTGTATGTCCAGCACGTAGTCTAGCCTTTCACCTTCGCATCGGCTTCCTACAGAAGTTCTGCAGTACAGCGCTGTGTGTGTGTATGTGTCTTTCTTAATGTTTCATCTTTTTTGCACTGGTAAATCAGTCTAAAAGATACATTTGACTAGGACAAAAAAGAGACGTACATGACAAGACTTCTCTGTCTTGTCCTTGTCAAGCGTAGCACTACAATGCTTCAAGCAAGAACCAGCTGGCACCGCGACATACAAAGTCAGTCTTCACTAAGACTATGCACGTAATTGTGCCTTTAGCACTGCTTTTGCAAGAAATGTAGCATTTTAAAAATTGCACAGGAAGTATGTATTGTGGTGTTGCATCACTCCACAAGTGTATGCTTGTAAGCAAAACCTCGCTGATACGAATCTTGCGGGATCACTAGGAATATTCATCCTAAACTTGTATCACCAGAAAACGTGAAAAGTTAGCATGCAACAAAAGAAAGCTGGTGCATGTTTGCATTCATTGTTTTTCAGGGCCTCAGCAACATTGCAAACACCGCTGAATGATTGCCAGTGAAGTTTTTAGACATCAGTGATCATAATTGCACCCGTAAATATACGGCCCACATGCATGTGTACTTAATTAACTTGGGGTGTGTAGCTCATTAATAATTATTTTACGCTTTTTCGCATAACATGAAAGTACTCCAACAAAAGTGCGCTTTGCACATGCTTGATAAGAAAGACATGAAAATTTTAGCACTGCTGTCGCTTGTTATTTTCTTATCGTGGTGGGGCTGGGGATATGCTTCGCTTTTGCCGACGCAAGAGTTGGCAGTTGTGCCACCAATCATCCATGTTGACATTGTGAGGCCTAGCTGCTTTGCTAGGACTGTCAGCTTCCTCATGCAAGCCTTGTCCATCTTTTGTAGGATGTCTGATGCAGAAAGACTTGGCTCGCATCAACATGTAGACATAGCAAAACATAAACAAAATGCATTAACACGTTTGAAAATTAAAAGCCTAACACTAGCATCATGTGCAATTGTGACACCAGCACCATCGGGCCTTCAAGATTTGTTCTTACAATCTCGGAGGCTGCAATGCATGGCAGTGCAGCGGGCATGCCCATCCGTGCTTGTCCAATCTTTCTAGTCAGTGCAGGCAGCACCTGTTGGTATCTGCAGGATATTGTACGTTAGTATGAAATGTCCCAGGGTGAAAATCACTTTGCAACGTCTGTACTTCATAACATTGCAGGCCAATGGGCGTTGGCCGGGACTGAAGAATAGTCGTATTACCTTTAAGTTTTTATGAGCCGTGATCGTATCACCGAGGTTTCACTGTACCACTCAATAGTGCTGTGTCTGGCATAGAGAGCAGCTTATTCTTACTTAAGTTCCCCTTTTAAATCATACACATGCCGACAATTTAGCGCATGTTTGCTTCTATTTGTGTTGCCTGCATACTGTACTATTAATGGGCACATTCTTTCCTGCAGAACTTTATGTCGACGAAGAGAGGAACACATACAAGGCCCTTCAATACAAAAGGTAAGGTTTTCTTGCATTATCTGCAATGAAACATTCAGCAGCAATTAATGTTTCACTTCACTAAAGGCCTTATGCTTCCAAAGCCTCTTCCACTGTCGTGGAGGCATCCTGAATTTTTTTTTTCTGAGTGCAGCAGCAATTCGAGAAAGTGTGCAGTGCGAAATTATTATAAATAGAAAAAAAAAATCTGCAATCAAATATTTAAAAAAGCTTGAATGCCTGACATTGAACTTCCGCACCGCGATCTCTCCGTGTGGAACTTCCCCGCCGCGATCATCCCTTTAAATTGAACACTTCCCTTTTCGCACATCTCATTATGCTAGATCCTTCATACTGCGCACAATAACCGAGTGGAATGACTTACCATCAAACATTGCAACCGTCACCGATATCACTGTACGTATTTCACCATCATCATCATCAGCCTGACTACATCCTCTGCAGGACAAAGGCCTCTCCCATGTTCCGCCAGTTAACCCGGTCCTGTGCTTGCTGCTGCCAATTTATACCCACAAACTTCTTAATCTCATCTGCCCACCTAAGCTTCTGTCTCCCCCTAACCCGCTTGCCTTCTCTGGGAATCCAGTTAGTTACCCTTAACGACCAGCGGTTATCCTGTCTACGCGCTACATACCCGGCCCATGCCCATTTCTTCTTCTTGATTTCAGCTATGATATCCTTAACCCCCGTTTGTTCCCTAATCCACTCTGCTCTCTTCTTGTCTCTTAAGGTTACACCTACCATTTTTCTTTCCATTGCTCGCTGCGTTGTCCTCAATTTAAGCTGAACCCTCTTTGTAAGTCTCCAGGTTTCTGCTCCATAGCTAAATACCGGCAAGATACAGCTGTTATATACCTTTCTCTTGAGGGATAGTGGCAATCTACCTGTCATAATTTGAGAGTGCTTGCCAAATGTGCTCCACCCCATTCTTATTCTTCTAGTTACTTCAATCTCGTGGTTCTGCTCCGCGGTTATTACTTGCCCTAAGTAGACATAGTCTTTTACAACTCGAAGTGCACTATTACCTATCTCGAAGCGCTGCCCATTTCCGAGGTTGTTTTACATTACTTTGGTTTTCTGCAGATTCATTTTAAGACCCATCTTTCTGCTCTCCTTGTCTAACTCCGTAATCATGAGTTGCAATTCGTCCCCTGAGTTACTCAGCAATGCAATGTCATCGGCGAAGCGCAGGTTACTAAGGTACTCTTCATCAACTTTTATCCCTAACTGTTCCCATTCTAGGCTTCTGAAAACCTCCTGTAAGCACGCGGTAAATAGCATTGGGGAGATTGTGTCCCCCTGCCTTACACCCTTCTTGATTGGTATTCTGTTGCTTTCTTTATGAAGCGCTATGGTAGCAGTTGATCCCCTGTAGATTTCTTCCAGGATGTTTATATATACTTCATCGACGCCCTGATTCCGCAGTGTCCGCATGACGGCTGATATTTGTGCTGAATCAAATGCCTTCTCGTAATTTATGAAGGCTATGTATAGTGGTTGGTTATATTCTGAGCATTTCTCTATTACCTGATTGGTAGTATGAATGTGGTCAATTGTTGAGTAGCCTGTTCGAAATCCTGCTTGTTTCTTTGGTTGATTGAATTCTAATGTTTTCTTTACTCTGTAAGCAATTACCTTTGTAAATAGCTTGTATACTACAGAGAGCAAGCTAATCGGCCTGTAATTCTTCAAGTCCTTGTCATCTCCTTTCTTATGTATTAAGATGATGTTAGCGTTCTTCCAAGACTCTGGTACTCTTCCCGTCAGGAGACACCTCGTAAACAGAGTGGCTAGTTTTTCTAACACAATCTGTCCTCCATCTTCCAGCAGATCTGATGTTACCTGATCCTCACCAGCAGCTTTGCCTCTTTGCATGCTCTCCAAAGCTTTTCTGCCTTCTTCTATCATTACTGGTGGGGTGTCATCTGGGTTACTGCTAGTTCTTATAGTATTAAAGTTGTGGTTGTCCCGGCTACTGTACAAATCTCCGTAAAACTCCTTCGCTATTTTAACTATCCTATCCATATTGGTAGTTATTTTGCCTTCTTTGTCCCTTAGTGCATACATCCGATTTTTGCCTATCCCAAGTTTCCTCTTCACTGCTTTGACGCTTCCTCCGTTTTTCAGAGCGTGTTCAATTCTCTCCATATTATACCTTCTTACATCAGATACCTTACGCCTATTAATCAACTTCGAAAGCTCTGCCACTTCTATTTTGTGTGTTGTACTTGAGACTTTCATGATTTGACGCTTCTTAATGAGATTCTTCGTTTCCTGGGAAAGCTTGCCAGTGTCCTGTCTAACTACCCTGCCTCCAACTTCAACTGCACACTCCGTAATGATACTCGTCAGATTATCATTCATTGTATCTATGCTAAGGTTGGTTTCCTCACTAAGAGGTATGTATTTCAGAACCTACTAAACATGAGTGCAAACGTGTGAACCTTTTGCGGTATTCCCCCACTCTTTCTTCTGCATACAGTGTTTTCTGTACAAACTGCGTTTGTTCATGGTTCGTGTTATTTTTTGCTGTGTTTGCCTAATTCAGTATTTCACACGTGCTATTAATGATGTTGTCATTCCTTTATGCATTAATGGCACGTGTGCTTGAAGTAAGCTAGATTGAATTTTATTGTACTCTTGTCACTCTATTTTCCTTCCTTGTTTAGATCAATTTTAAAATATTTTTATAGTTTCATTATTGTTTGACTCATATTATTTATTCTGATTATTTAAGACTCTACGGTAAGAATATTCACCTTATATTTACTCTAATCTATTTATCAACTGTATAGTGTTTAGTTTGTGTGTTTTCTGGCCCTATCAATCATTTCATGTACCTGTATGTGTTATCGCCCTCCCCTCCCCTATGTAATACCCTCCTGTGAGAGGGCTCTTAGGGGTATTCTGAATAAATAAATAAATAAATTAGCAGTGTACCTATGAATTGGCCTTTCTCCCAACACGCAGCATCGATCATTTGCATCGTGGCAAAGTTTGGAAAGCAAACATTTGTTACAATATGAAGACATCGTGAGTAATTGCATTTAAAAAAAAAGTTTTTGCCTCTCCTCTGCGGTGATCAAATACAACTGTTGGACTTTTGGCACGCATTTTACGGTATTTTGACATTGCATGGAAGGAGCACGAAAAAGGTGGCAAACGAGTCGCAAAGGCAGTACTGCCATGCAAGGACCAGATTGGGCACGGCACAAATTTTGTATGCACATAAAAAAAGTAATTTACCAGCATTTTTTTTTTACAAATTGAATAGTTGATTAAGTCAACTCGAAAACAAGCAGATTTATGTGGATTTCGTCATTTCTTCTAAATTTAAGATTAATGTCCGGGGATTATTTGTGGGTGTTGGTGAAGCTCCGAGAGAGACCAATTTTTCAGTTGTTCTTTTACTAAATAGGAGAACAAAGACACCTAGTGCTACTTTAACAGGTTGTGACGTTAACGGGGAAACTTTGAGATAATTGTGCTTAAATGCAGCTTCAATAAGCACGACATGTATGTTAAGCAGAACAATGCTTGTCCCATTGACTCAGTTCTAGTAACAAATGATATAAGAAAGTGCAGACTTACATGGTGACTCTGTGCATGGTGCTGGAACATTAGCATGCATTAGAGGAGACTGCGAAGCTTGCACTGAAATTACTGACCTAGAACAACCAGGAAGTGCTTTGTGATGTAGGCATCCATTGTGACAGACTTTGCAATACATAAGGCAATAGCAGACGATAACCAAACTGGCACATTTTATCCAAGCTCTCTGGCCAGCCATGGTTGAGGGTCACATGAGTTTGGGAAGAGCTTCATACCTAACTATAATTAATTCATATTGAGGTGGACTCTTTCTGTGCTTTGTAACTTGAATGCGCTAAGCTCATAAAAGTGTGTTGTATATTTGAGGAGAGCACCCTCGAAACATGGCCTGTAATGACCTTGGTATAAATCTGCGTAGTCTTTGTACAGTTCCATGGGGCGCTTGTGTTGCGTAAATTATATTAGAAGAGAAAGGAAGGGAGTAGGGAAAATAAGCTTAGTGTTGGTGTCTAGCCACTATTCAAGGCATCCTTTAAAAAAAAAAGAAAGCCAATACAGCGAGTGCTGTAAGAACACTCAGAGTTGATTAACGTCTGCATTCACTGTGGCTTCACTGAGTAAAATTTGGTCATATTGATGTGCTGCATCTTTTGGTACATGTTGCGTAAGTGATGGTTTCAATAGATAAAATGAATAGGCAACAGAAATAAACAAGTTTTCTAAGCTGAACTGTGAAAATACTAATGAAAAATAAAGATCAAAGTGCAAGAATAATAGTAGCTTTCAATTTAAGTCAGTCTCGCAACGTGAACATGAACTTGAACATGAAGTGTACAAAGCATAACTAATAGTACAGTTAAAGCCCGCCGTAATGAAATTCTGAGGGAACAAAATTTTCACCAAATCGAAATATTTTGGAGCACCAGCAAATGCCCATAGGAGTCAAAGCATTTCGTAACTAGCAACTGCAAAACATATTTTCACCACAGTCCCTCAATAACGAAATTTTAGGAACGAGAGTGCACAAGTTAATCTACTCTCGTAACATTATCGGAATTCAAAAAATGCCCAAATGCATTCGTGGTTGTCATAAATTGTACAAAACTATCCCCACAGTGTCATCGTTGTTTAAAAAAAAGGGGGGGGGGGGGGGGCTTGTGACAATGATAGTTATGATGGTTTAGTGGTTTGCCACTCGGTACGGGTCACTGCACAGTGTCCTAACCAAAAATCCATTTAATCAGTATTATCTACTATATTTTTAAAAACAATTAAAAAGAATCGAAGGATACTTTGTAGTGGGCACGTGTTAATATTTTCATGGGCTGATGTGGAAACACCAGCTTGTTATTCAGACTCTTAATTGAGAACAATGTTGCCAAATTCACATCCACATGGAGTTTTGTGTACCCATCAGCGAGCACGATGATGACATGGCAGTGGGCCCAACACTTTTCACAATGCGCGTCAAGACCTATGAAATTGCTGCAGGAATGGTCCTTGCAATGTAAGATTGTTGACATCTGGCAGTAAAATGTGTTTTGGCCGATTCTCTTTCTTTTCTGCCACATCATGTTGGTAAATAATGTCTCACGTCTTTAGTGCACAAAAGAACACAGACAAGAAAAAAAAAAAAAGTGCCATATCTGCACCGTTTTTCGTTCTTGTCTTTTTGTGTGCTAAATAATGATACATGGCTACACTTTTGAGCATTCACTTATAATTTGACAGGTACCAGGCTAGATTCCCAGTGCTGGCTAAAAACCCACCTGTTTTTTTAGATGCGAAGCAGCTCTTTGACTAGCTTGTGTAATGCTGTCCCTCCATTCGCACCGCTCCCCTCGCCGCAGGCTTTGGAGCGGTGCCAAATAGCTCACACCTTTCTAGCAGTGCACGGTGACGTCTCTCTTCCTCGCCTGCCGCGTGCTCGCCGCGTGTCTGCTCTCTCTCGCTTCACCCTCTAAAACGCTCGAAACACTCGAGCCCGCTCCTCATGTGGGCGTCATCTGACCCGCGCCACCTCTCTCCATCTGTCTGCGAGAAGAAGCCGCGTGCGTCAAGAATCTCACGGCGCCAACAATGTGGACAGTGCTCCGCTGCTTGCCGTGCGATCGAGCCAATGGGCAGAACGCCATCGCAGCGTGCTTCCCGCTAGTGTGCGCGTACCTTTCTCGGCTGTGGCTGGCGTTGCGAGGGTTAGCGAAGCCGATTGCGTTCGCGAATAGTGACGTCAACACCGACGAGGTGCGAGCTAGGGAAACCGAATGCAAGGGTTGGCAGTGGAAGACCAGTGACACCGACGAGGAGCGAGTCAAAAACACTGACCGCGTTTGAGAATACAGATGGCACGCAGGTAACACTGACGAGACGCAAGCCAAGGTAGTCGAGCGCTAGCATCTTCAGCGTGTCTCACCTCTCATGTTTCAAAAAAAAGAAAAAAAAAAGGTTTACTCGCGTAAACGCTACACCGAGTTCCCCTTCAAGCCATTCTTCTAGCACCCGTGACAACGCCTCTTTCAATCCCGTCAACACTGTGTGCACCGCTGCTGCTTTGCATCTCATCAGGGTTCCCTTCGGGGAGGTTGTTCATAGTTTTTTAAAGGGCAGAGGAGTACACTAATAGGGAACTCACTTGTTTAAGGGTACCTATGTTGAAAGGTGGCCGCCCCGTAAGGCTTTGTGAAGGCCCGTGGGCACACCCTAGCGTACTGCTGCTGTGTGGAGGCTGCCGGTACCTACCGATACAAGCGCGCTTTCGGAACAGAACATGGAAGAGCTTAGTATGCAGTTGCCTGGGAGGGCATCCACTCTGTTTGTGGGAAAGTGTTGGTCAGCCCTAAATATAAGGCCATATTTTCCGTTTGGTTGTGTGTGTGTTCTGCCTGCAGTGCCTGCACAATCCATGCAGGTTCAGCTGGTTCACCATCATTCCTGCGATCCTGACATCTTCATCGAGAGCCAAGGCTGCTGAGGTATGTTGACAGCTACGCCATGAATGTACGGTATATCTGCGACATGTTTCCTCCTATCGCATTCTGCAACCACACTCAGACTTCACTGAACATTTAGCGGCAGCTACTACTGCAGTTCAAACATCTAAAAGACGCATAACCCTAGGAGGTTTAATAATAACTTCTGGAGTGGAGGTCCCCGATATGTGCCCACGTGAGTGGGTGAAGCCTGGAAAACCTGTTGGTGGCCATCTTGCTCCATGCAAGAGAGAGCGCAACTGAGCATGGGCAGTGTAGTAGTTGAGAGCTTCTGCAGGGGCGTTTCAGCATGAAAATGGGGTGGTCTGTGTAAGTAACTAGGCCCAATTTTTATTTAGTCACGCAAGATTTTTTATGCCATAATACATGGCTGAAGTGTGCCTGAGGGTACTTAGAATTGGCATTCTTGAAATGAAGCACATTCTGGAGTCAGTAAGTGATACATGCAATTCGATTCAGTCACGAATTTTATACAATTTGTAGGGAAAAAAGAAGTATATACTTGAAGCACACTGGTTTGGGTTAATAGATGAATAGAAAAAGCCCTAAAACTTGGAATGGCTTTGAAATGCATCATAAATCAGACATTAACAAAAGTAACCATATGAAACAAACACCACCCAAACATTAAAGGCATGCAGTGTTTAATGTTGCACTGTTAACATATGTATCTCCACACATACAGGCACATACATACCATGATCCCTGCCATAGCACGGAATTGATTAGATGAACTTTTTGACACATACGCAATGTTAAGCGGCACCGAAAAGTAATGGCAGCATGTGAAAAAGTTATAGTAATGATTACACCTTAATTAAATTAAGCCTAGTTCAGATAATCTTGGCAGCACAGGTACAGAAACTTCTTGCACATGCGATACGCCACTGGAAAAAATTCAGCAGATCCCATTTACCTTGGGAGTCGACATTGTACGAAGCATGCGGAGGGAAGGTGATCATGCTATAATTTTTTTATTGAATAAAACGTTATGAAATGACGCTAGAGATATGTACAAGTGTTGTATGTCCTGACATGTTAAACAGTGGCATATGTTCTACATAACCATGTGTTTAAGTTGCATAACGATGCCAACAGCAACATGGCTATTACCAACACCTGAAATGGTGAGATGATATGTAGTCGTAGGCGTATCAGCCGGGAAGCAAGAGGGACGCGAGCCCCCCCCCCCCCTCCCCATTGAGAAAAGTGGGGGGGGGGGGGGGGGGGCTGTGAGCCCCCCACTTTCGACAGTGGTCACTCTTGGTTGTGCGCTAAGGAAACCAACAAGTAAGGCAAAGTTTTCTGTCACAACAGTAATATTTTAATTATGTTTTTATGGGAAAATGAAAATGTTACAAGGCAATGTTACATCATGTGCACGTGAAATTTTGCCAACATTTCCGCTGTGATGATTTTTCTTGCATGTTCTTTGCAGTGTGGGAACACCTATGCGACATTTTTGTGTCTTGTGCTGTAGTATTGCAGAGCAGGCAAGCGCTGAACAGGGGCCTTACAATATTACATCACTTGTTCATGCTTTTATTATGCTGTGACTTTTTGATGCAGTTACGGATTGGAGCGAGCAAACTTTTTATGGACCAGCCAAATCATTTGCGGCTTACGGAAAATATTTTTCTTCGAAAAGGGTATATCATCACCGCTGCTCTCTCGAGGTTGTTGCGAGCTGATGAGTGTGACGAATCGTTTTGGATGGTTAAGTTTTTCCGCACTGCAATGCCAAAAATTGTTTCCGCTTTAATCTCTGATAAACCTGATCAGCCTTGCTTATGGTAACTTGAAAGTTGGAGCTACTGTATAGCGGCAGTAAAATGCAAAAGAGAAATGCGTCTTAACAGATGTAATTGAGTACTTATTGTACATAGATAAAAAAGAGTTTGCTGAATGTATGTTTTGGTGTTTGGCAGCTATAGCACCGTTTAACGTGTATATATGTATCCTCGTTCTCGCGTGGTACATCTTCATCCTGACGACTAACATCTATAATAAATTTATTATCATGGTATCTCATATTATTATGGTATCATATTATCATTACTGTGGTATCTGTAGATGTTAACCACCAAAGCATAATCAGAGAGAGAGAGGCATGATACGAAGATGAGCATCGCACATTGGACACTGAAATCGGGCTAAGGGCGCCATTCCTCAGCCTCTGCTTTTGGAAGTGTGATTGAACTTCGTGGTACCTATAAGAAAGCGTGTCGTGTCACCTCTGCGTCTGCAAGTGCGAGCGCGTAAATGAAGTTCTTTCTCTTGATATATATATTGTAATGTACTAGACAGAGAACAAGAGACAACACCCGATCCTGGGCCAGCTGTTCTTATTCTGCCTCTTCTTCCTCGCTCACCTAGCATGCGCGTCTGTGTCAGAGTGCCTGTTTCGGTTTTCGTCGTCCCACTCGGCCATGACTGCAAGCATTGTCGATGGGCCACACGACAATGTTCATGTGGGTGAGTCTAGCTGCAGCAGTTGACGTTGCTTCAGGTGGGCGGGGTCGGCTGCATCGTCGTGGTCGGCCCCGGCCACGCTGGAAGTTTGTCGAAATTGGCTCCGGCAGCCGACACTGGCTATGTCGCCCGGGTCGTTCGCCATGTCATGGTGGGGACTGGTTTCTGGTTGGTCCCTTTGTTAATAATGACTCCGCGGGACGACATTGACTGTCGCGTGGCAGTCTACAGCCTCGGCCACGCTGCGACTTTTCAGAGAAAGCAGTTCGACTTCGACTTCCCTTTGGTGGACCGAGCAGGCATTCTCATGGTAGAAGTTTCTTGCGGTGGTGTGGTTTTCTTGGAGATGGTTCTGGTGGGTGGCCCCGACAGGATCGACATGGTCGCAGGTTGATCCCAGAACGCTTTCGTTTGTCCCACCGCATTTTAGAAAACAGGCAGGAAATGGTGGATCTGGCAACGAAACGAGTAGCATCTTGTGCAGCCATCCGCGCAATTTTCTGCGGATCGAGAGATGTTTTTCGGTGCGATTACACATCTTCACGAACTTGGGGTGAAGTCCTCGTGCTGACCTGTGGCGTGGCTCCTGCGAAGTGATTTGCGTAGTCCGTGACTTGCGCAGCGTTGTCGCTATGGGACTCTCGGACGCTGTAAAGTCAGCGATTCTTGAAGCCACGCTGCGTACTGACGGGAGATCCTCGACGGAAGCCGTTCCAAAAATCGGAGACTCTACCGATTCAGGCAGTGCATGCGTCGCACGCATATCCTCTTCCGTCTGGTCAGATGGGATGTTGTTAGACTCAGCGGAAAGACCTGTCTTATTAGGTGGTAGAATGTCCAGTAGGATGGGGGCCGTTGCCTCTAAGTCGACCGGACGACCTGCGTTGGGGCCTCTTGCGGAGCGTTGCGCAAAGCTTGCCATCAGGGACCCGCCGGACACAGCTGCACCGTCGGGCCGGTGCTCCTCAGGAGCTCTAAATACGACAGCAGAAATGTCTGTGCAAAGCAGAGTTACACGATCGTGATTGTTTCCTACATCTTGGTCACCGAAAGATGACAGGATGGTAGGGGCTCGAATCGCATCCTCTAGGTCGGGGTTTTCCCGAGTTCCGTCCTGAGAGAAGGTCGAGTTACATAGGCAGGTGGCACAGGGAATCGGACCGAAAGCAGCTATGAGCTTGACACTCCACTCCGCCCATGACTGCTGCTTCCAACCTTCATACCGGTGCCACGCCGCTGCACCTTCCCGAAGACGGTCTATGGCCACATACCATTTCTGATTCTCTCTCTGTCCAGGCTGCGCGCATTGCTAGCGCGTTGACGGTTGCCACCCAGCAGTCGGCGTCGTTCCGGACCCCGTCGAATTCTGGCAGTTCGTAGGTGGACGGCAATGGTGGGGCGGCACGTGAGAATGCTGATATCACTGAGGCAACGCCGTCGAGCTGGTCTGAGAGCTGCAGGAGGGTGCCCCAAAGCTGCCTGCGTTGCTCCAATGGGCTTGCTTCAAGGTCGTGCGAGGCAGCTACGTCCAACACGGCGTTAGTGGCACGCAATTCTGGCAACATTGTAGGAGCTTGCTCGAAGATTGACGCTGTCAGTTCATTAGTCTTGACGCGGAGTAGCGCGATGGTACGCCGCAGGTTCGCGGCGCTGTCGTGTGTGAAGTCCAAAACGTTGGTGATCGCGGTCTTCGAATGAGAAGCGGTTGCAGCACTTACGCCGGTGAGGTTGACGTGCAGAGAAGCCTGGACGGCGTTCCCTGGTAGCTCGTATGTTGAAAGAGTGCGGCAACGGGAATGTAGGCCACGGGAAGCGTGAGCGGCATTCCCAAAGGACAGGAGCCGGTGCGGATCTCTGCCGCGAAATGGTGGCAGGGTGTCAATAAGGTCATGCCCTACAACCCCAAGGGAGGCCTGGACGCCGTCCACTGGTGGTTCAAAGGGTAGCTGAAGCGGCGGGTGGGACCCCATTGCCAAGGAAGCGTGGACGGCGTTCCTCGATGAAGAAGCCCGCACTGCTGACGAACCACGAAGACACGTACCGGTGGTTTCCCGCAGAGGGTTCACTTGTCGACTGCGCTGACGGCAGAATCCATAGCCAAGGACGCGTGGACGGCGTCCCTTGTGAAATGGTACCGGTAGCGTGTACTGCAGCCGCCGAGGAGGCCTTGACGCCGTCCCCGAACGGTGGTGGCAGTGGTGGCAGGTGAACAGCTGCCGAGGAGGCCTTGACGCCATCCTCAAGCGGCACTTATCACGACTGTCCTGGATGACGAAACCGGGACGTAAGACTTCTTCTTCGTCGACTGCGCCATTGTAATGTACTAGACAGAGAACAAGAGACAACACCCGATCCTGGACCAGCTGTTCTTATTCTGCCTCTTCTTCCTCGCTCACCTAGCATGTGTGTCTGTGCCAGAGTGCCAGTTTCGGTTTTCGTCGTCACAATATATATATATATATATATATATATATATATATATATATATATATATATATATATATATATATATCTATATATATATATATATATATATATATATATATATATATATATATATATATATATCAAACCTACGGCCTTCGAATAAGCGTTATTCGAAGGCCGTAGGTTCGATTCCTGCTCACAGCTGGTTATTTTTTCACCCACTTTTCTTTCTTCTTATTTACATTTCATTGGTTCTAATAACTTCTCCTGTACATTCCTTGGCATTACTGTCTGTTAGATCTCATTAATATTGTGTCAAAACACGGAAAAATGAGCTCTTAGGTATACACTTCTTTCCCTTATATATATATTCCAGCTGACGAGTGAGGTATGTCTGCCCCCCCCCCACTCACAAACGAGTATGTAGTGCTTGTGAGGATGATAACCGGGCTAGTGAGTGATACATAGACCATCTTCAGTGGATGGCCCTAAAGCATACAACTGTTGTTTACTCAATGGGCTCAGATGATTGGACCCATTCAAGATTACCTGTTAAATACACAGACATTGTTTGTATTTGACAAGGACAACATGAAACGCCAAGGAACATCACAACAATACGTGATTAAACACGAGGAAATTCTACAGTGAGGCTCTTTTTACTTTAGATGTTGCTCAGTTAATGTACTTCACTCCCGTGACACAAGTCTCAAAGACAACACTCACGCACACTGTCATTGCTATGACACCGGGCAATGTGGCATTGAGTCGTGGTAGCGTCCATGGTATGAACACGCTTTGTCGTGTGCCTTGCTGGCTCAAGCTCGAAGACTCTGTGCTGCACCACGACGTCTTGCTGGTTTCCATCCAATGATAGCCGGTTCTAAGACTGTCGCAGATCTATCACATGAAAATTTTTCCGCCATTCAGCTTTGCCAAAACGTCATCTACTCGTGGCAATGAGCACTGCTCTGTCCCAGTGGTCGCGTGTACAGTCTAAAAATCTCTAAATTTTGAGTGACCCATCTTTCCGTTTTCACCGGCCAAGTGGGCTACCAGCTGATCCAGCACTTTGAAAATCTTGTTCCGCAAGGCATAAGGTACAGTCTGGCCTTTTGAAAAAAAAAAAACAATATTTTCTTTCTGCTGAAATATCACTAGCGGTTTTGAGAAGTCCAAGGTCACGAGCAAAGACATATTCATGTTGGCTCTGTTCTTCCATGTTGCTCCATTTAGCGTGACTGGTTGCACGCTCACGATGACTTTTGTCAGCATGGCAACTCCGATTTCGTTAAAAGCCTTTATCGTGTCACTGCTGCTAAATAACAGCTGATGACCACTTCGACCCTGCCTTGTATATCTTTCCCAACCATACAAATTAAACTAAGGTTTGCCTGATAGGCAGGATACTTTAAGCTGCATTTTTTGCTACAGTGGTCATTTTACTTTGTACTTTGCTGAAATGATGCTTACAGGGGATGCGGTGTCCACCAGCATCGTCAGAGCAACCTTATCCCAGCTAACGACTTCGTAAATAGTTTATTGTTGCAGATGCTTTCTTCCCGATAAGGCTTAGTTGTTATGGCGTTTACAAGGTCGCGCTATTGTCAGAGGTTGTGTAGTCTTCAGCTAGCGTTGCATTTGCCCCTTGCTGTCATACACCCAAATCTGGCATCCGTAGCCATTGACTAGGTGTGGCCAACTGGCACACTAAACTTAGGTGGCCTAGTTTGCCACATTTGTGGCACACCGGTGCACACAGATGCTCACATTCGACTTTTTCTTCAGTACCAGACTGTTCACATCGGCTGCATGTATTCATCTTTAGCTGAAATTCTCGATTCGGATCATTTGGACTGCAAAATTCATAGCACCTTGTCTTGTAGAGTGCATTACGTATTTGGCTTCTTGTGCTTAAATTGCAAAGTATTCTGGCTATTCTAGGATGAGCTACCGTTGGGTCAATAATGTCTCCTAACACCTTCATCATGAATTCCATGCTTTCTCAGCATGCACTCCAATGATGTGCTGAAATTGCATTTTTCCACTAGCAGTCTTCATCGACCTCATCGATTCTCATTACACTGTTTGTGAGCGACGATATAAGAAGTGCTCTTTTTTTTTGTTTCATCTGTAGTCTTACGGGCATCAAAGTAAGTCTCCAGGCGAACGCGATGCCTTGGATGTCTGCATCTACAAATTGCGGTGACCTCACGGCAGTCATGTTGACGCAATTCTGTCAGTCTAGCACTAATCTGTTTTACCTTCGTTTACGTCGCTATTGATGTACTATAAAATATAGAGATAACTCTACAAGAACGATCATTTATTGTACAGCTTGTTTTTATACTAAACTCATCTGATGGTATAGGGACGTGCATTGATAAGACTGCATGCTGCTGACGCATTGGAGTTTAAACTTTTTTTGGACGTTAAATTGCACATAAACAACATTCCTTCCCATTCATTCAAGCTGATCCACCTGAAACTCTGTGGGAACAAAATGCATCAATTGCAGAAGAATCGGAATTAAACTGGAGCTCTTTGCTATGGTGTCCTTCATAACAGACTTGCAGTCTTGTGAGGTTGGACACCCACAGTTAACTTTGTTTTTGCAGCGTAAGCTGTTATGAGCTCACATCAGCAACCAATGTAAATGGAAATCATTCAAACTGGAATGAATTCTAGCATTCCCCAATAGTAGTCGGGTATGCTACTACAGAGCCATGCCTGTGTTTAAAACTGCTTTGGAAATGGACACGATCGGGGTGTCATGTGGGTGAAGAGTTCTGTTGGAGCTATGCTACTGTTGTGCGGCAGAGGTGCAAAATTCAAACTAGGTGTCACCCTATGCGAATAGCATAATGATGTGGTAGTTTAGAGCTGCCTATCAATCGCCAAATGCTCAGCCATGATTCATCATCATCATTAGCTGCAGCATCAGCAGTGCTGGTGTAGGTGCACACACTGCCTCACAGATGCATAGTGGCTACTTAACTAGTTTGCAGACCGATGAATTTTGGTAAGAGTTGGCACTGTGCAACTGGACTTGAACCCTAAGAGAGTTTACAATTGGCTCCTGCCTTTCCAGCTTTCGCTGTGACTACTCCAACTTGTGCTGCATGCTCTGTGCAGGCCAGGAGTTTTCATTCGCGAGACGTGTGTTCCGGCAAGTTGCTTCATACTTGTAACGAAACAAATAAGCGCTGTAAAACTTTGTTAGGGGTGTGCCAATATTGAAGAATTAAAATCAAATAATACAATCAGGCTTTTGAATATTTGGTATTTCAAGCTTCAAATTATTCGACAGTACAAATATTGGTGCCAATAGTGCAACATTGTTTCGGTGGGTAGGCTAAAACTAATGCAGAGATCGTTTCAATAAGTCTTTTGTTGAAGCTTTCACTATTGTTCTGGTTCGAAAGTAAGTGTATCTCCTTTTTAAAAGAGATTACGCCATTCCCACTCATCATGGATATCGCAAAAAAGGCCAGGGACCTCGTGGAAGACGGTTAAACTACTGGCGTCAAAGAAGAACTAGCACACTAAGCTTGAACCAGACAAGAAGGTTCAAAAACACTTCAATAAGCCCCTGATCCTTGGAGAAGATGAACACTTTAAATTCTAGAAACAGTATGGATGTTCAATTTGTACAGGTATTGCCAAAATTACTTTGCGATACATTCCCGTGCCTGCTAATGAGCTGACCAGTGAGCATATTTTTCTACTGCAGCAACACCACGGCGACAGAGCCTGAAATCAGGTCATGTAAAGCAACTTGTGTTTCTACATAATCATTTGTAGTCTTTCAGTTTATGTCTTCAACCTGAGCTCATTTCAGTTTTTTTTTTTTTTTTCATTCTTCAGTAAAATCCTGCGCATTCGGCATTCGATACAACATTTGATATTTTGGGGCCACCATCTGGCACCATTCAGTTCAAATTCGATCCGAGATGAAATTTCACCACTCGCACACCTCTAGTCAATTTTGTCACTGTGTCCTTTGATTTTCATTTTACCTGTTTTTTCTTGATGGTTTTTGTGTTGTAATTTATTGTGTTGATATGGAGGCCTCTGTTGAACGAAAATGAAACTAGGCAAGTGAGGTGTCTGCTGTTGCATGCAGGCCAAGTCCGAGAAGGTTGGGGGTGATCTGACCACGGGCGACGGACTGCTAATGGGCGGCACACTCATCGTAGAGAAAGGTGGGCATTGCTTTTTGTTTGGCCCCTGTGTTCTGTGCTGGTAATGCATCTTCCTTGGTCCATGCTACTTTCCTTAATTCAGCCCCAAACATCGCTGGTTGAATTATCAGGTGAGAGGCAGATATCACAAAGTACACACCAGGCTCACTTCACAGTATTTTACGCTACTGCAACATGCCTTTGTATCGAATTCACCCACATTTTGTGGGTCCAAAGCACTAGGAAGTCATGTTCAAAATGGCCTTGGAGAGCCAAAAATATCTATAAATCAAGTGTGCACCTATTTTTCAAGCAAGAAAAATGTATGTATAAGATGATGGCGATACAATAAAACTACAGCTCTGTGGATAGCTAGATTTTAGGTGCGAAGCTAATTGAAATATAAAGTTTGAGTGTGAATAGAATATTTTATGAATTTTTCAAAGTATTTCTCAAATACTTTGAAGCAAAATTATAGCAAAAATGTTTCAGAGGTCCCCTAAGTATAATCTAATGAGATAGCAACACAAAAGCATTTCTTTTGGTTAGTTTGGTGGGACACTGGAGGGGTGCTGCTAAGTGGCATTGCCTACTTATCTTATAAACAATGAGGCAGTGCAGAGGCCAAAGTGTATTTGTTTATGATTTGGTGCAACCAAAGGTGCGCAAAGAACACACGAGACGAAAAAAGCCATTCGTGCAACCTTTCTTCCTACTAAAATTTTTGGGGAGGCCACATTTAATGTCGTGTGGCGGACAACAGCACACTCTCTTTGAGTATGGAGTTTCTCATCTGTCCCATGGACGTCAACAATCAAAATTTCAAGATGTCCCAGCTCTTTAAAATCTTCTGCCCGAATTTAATGTCTGGAACTCCATGAATTATAGCCCCATCTTTGCTGCATATATCATTCTATAGGTTTGAACCAGCACTTTCATAAATTGATCCGTTTGCAGCCATAGCACAGTGCAAAAGGTAGTTTCGCCACAATGCTAGAGTGTGTTGGGGTGAAGAGTATTGAAGACTTAAGGTTTCAGTGTTACGGCACAGTGCGATGTTTTTATGGATAAGCCCCGGCAGTGCAGGGAAGCGTCATGCCATCAAATGCGCTAGTACTGTTCAATCGTTGACAACCCTTGTGATAACTATTGCCAGCAAAGTGTTCAGTACTGCATGTGACATAGTGCAAGCTGTCATTCACGCCGTCTCTGTGCGAGACTGCCAAGTGTGCCGCACAGAAGCATTGCCTTCATGAACGTATGCAGGTCATTGTTGCTGCACTTGTGTATGGTCAGGAATGGAGTGGGCATCTTGAACACTTTCATGACAGGTGTGTGTGTACCCGGCACCCAGGGTATCGGCGTAGTCGGCGATGTGCTGCACACAACTAGGAATAATCAGCTTCATTTGGCAACAAATGTTGTATGTTGGCGAAGATATGACTATGTGTATTCATTTGTAAAAGATGCATACACACATTGGTGGGTAAACTCAGCAGGGCTCAATATTGGCACTACTTTTCTGGACGCAGGTGGCAACAAAGTGCTGCTCAACTACCAACAGGATACACCCGAGGGCTTTGTTGGCAACAGCGCCATCCTGGATGCTGTGGGCATTTCACGCTGAGCCATGCTTCTGGTCCTGTGCTATAAATGCACTGTGTGTTATGCCTTTTGGCTTCTTCTTAACACTCACCCATGTGCTGAACTTGCATCTACACTTTTCACTTTACTGGTAATGTTCAGATGTGATTGATAAATAGAAATGTAAAGTTAAACGTTAAGCTTTGTACATGAAACTTGATGGTGCTATCTTCTTGCGCCTGCCAGCTTCATGCACACGAGTGTGGCAAGGTGCCAATATGCAAACACTTTAAATGGCCAGTAAACAACCGTGCAGTCCAAAATTTGTAATCACCTCCGCTTTTGTACATTGTGGACAACCTAACAGCTGCCACAAGAACTTTGTAGAAAGTTACTGGGTTTGAAACAACCCAGTAACCTCTCAGTAACTTCCCAGTAACATTGACAAAGTGGGCATAATTGTGACAAGGCGCGTTGTCCGTATGCCCACTTCATCAATGTAACATGGTGTCAGTGATTTGTCTTCAGCACGCAGCCAACAACCAGCAAGGCTTCTACAGTGCGAGAAGTACGAGGCACTGCTGAGGTAGGCACTCTTCCCTTTGTGATAGTAACAAGGCCAGCCCATCTCGAAGGCTTTTGTTCTGGCAATACCACTTCTCACGGTAGTCTAGGACTTTACAAAACGGTGAAGGGCAGCTCAAGAAAATGAAATTGCATCACTGCCGGGCCAAGGCGGCATTTTGTATTAAAAAAGACCAATTGAGATGCTAAGTGGTGCATTACTGCACGCACGAGCAGAATTGAATAGACAGTCGTGGGAAAGAGGCACAATCATTGTTTTTCGAAACGGAGGTTCTGCTCTGCACACAACACTGTAATGCAAAATGTGACCGCTATGGTCTACTGTAAGAATTAGTGAGCTTGTTTGGGGGGATGTAAAAAAAAACTGAAGCCTCTTTACTGACCCTTTAAGGGAACACTTGATAAACAATGTGGGCAGAAGTTGTGCATCGCTTTTCTTTACTGTTAGTCTGTGCAATTAGCATTTCATGCATTCTTCTTTTTACCTACTTCAAGCTCGTTGTTGTGGGATGAAGAGTGCAGACAAGAGATATAATGAGCTATCGGGCCATCATCAACAGTGACATCTCTATGAGGTCGAAACACAGCATGAACTTTGGTTTAAAGGGACCTCACAGCACTTTTTCTAGCGGTCATCGAATGACCAGATATATTCTCAGAATCCGTCAAGTACAAGCAGGCACACTCTTCGAGCTCTTTTCAGCAAATGCACTGATAAGTGTATGACAGTGCACAGGAAGCTACATTCATGCAGCAGTGACACTTTTTTTATTAAATGTATATGTGCCAATGCGTGGCACCGGCTACTCCTCTTCTCTTGCACAAAAGCCGAAATCACACATTATGTAGCAAACACAATGCTATACATATGTACATAGCAAAACGCTTACACAATGAGTTCACATTTTTCAACCCTGAGTGTCGACACCACACAGAAATGTGTCCACACTACATAGAAATGTGTCCACACCACACAGAGTTTGTAAAAACACAAGTAATCACGCCAATTTAAGTGTTCACACAAAACACGAAAGTTGATAAAATGTCTAAGGCGATCTTGTCGCTTAAGTACTGAACTGTTTTCAGAAAGATTTTTCCAAAAATATCGTAGGGAAACACGAAAACACTGTTTTGAAACATTCCAGTGGACAGTGACGAAGTACTTTTTTTGTTTAGTACTTTAGAGCAATTTCTGATTTCTCAAGAAAGTGAACGACTGCACGCGCTGCAGTGGCTTGTAGCTTTCCTTTTGGCCATGGACCCAAGATTTTTGCAATTGATGGAGGTCGCTTATCCAAAGAATTGAGTTTTTGAAAAAGGTTCTTTCGAGGTATGTCATGATTTTTACAATGCAGAAGAATGTGCTCCGCGTATTCTTGAGCTTCTCCACATGAGCAGGTAGGACTGCCAGCTTTCCTTATTCTATACAGGAAGGCATTCGTGTAGGCTATGCCAAGTCGAAGCCTATGGATGACTGTTTCTACTGATCAGCTAACCTTTAACGGAATATTAAATTCTATACCGGGATCAATGTTATACAATTGAGAGTTTTGCGCACCATTTTCGAATCAGGTTTCCATAGTCAGTTGACAGCTCAGCTTATTTATTAGACATCATGCATCGCTCATCGATACAGGTAGCAGTGATATATTATTTTCTTTATGTGCTGCATGTGCAGTGTCATCAGCTATGTCGTTTATTATGATTCCACAGTGGTTTGGCACCCACTAGAACATTATGGTGTGGTTTAAATCTTTTGCTATAGCGTACGTCCTCTGCATTTCATATGCGAGCTCACTAGCTTTGTTGCCCAAGCTGATTCCTTTTAAAGAAACTAATGAGGACTGTGAGTCACTGATAACTACTCATAAAAATGGACTTGGCTGTAGACGTATGAAGTGTAAAGAACAGAGTATTTCATCGAGTTTCGCCGTTGTGAATGTTGTGAAATGACTGAGTTTAAAAGCTTTTCTCGCTTGGTATGCAGGTACGAAGAATGCCGACGTAGAGCTTTGATTCAGACATGATCAGTCGGTGTACGCATGAATATAGTCTTCATAATTGGTATAAAGGTGTGTTAAAGTTTATGACAATTATAGGCATATCATTCTTACAATTTATTCCCTGAATCGAAGTTGTAATATCTGGGATAGAGTCGCCATGGTGGGTGGGTTGCACATGGAGGCCAGTATTTGTGCGTAGGCAGTAAAATCTTGAATTCTACTATAGTTTTATGTATTCTTGCAACTGATATCTCCTGAATAGCTTGGTGTAGGGGATGATTAGCATGTTGAGTTGCCAACCGAAGATAATGCCGGCACGTTTTCGTAAGTCTTATAGCATGGAAAGTCGGTTGACGAGACTCCGCAATTACCAAAGCACCGGCAGACGCTCGCGGTATACCAAGACATATACGATGGCTTCTGGCCAACAATCTTTAAATCCTCTCCTCTAGGTTGCGTGATATCTCATGCGAAACCGGGGCAGAGTAAGCTATTCTTTGTCGAATTATTGCTGAATGTACTACATGCAATAAAGAACATGAACTACACCATCTCACTCCGTCAGTCGACGTAATATATTGATTAGGGAGTTGGATTTGTCCTCTAATGATTTTATCTGTGGAGCCCAAGACAGACGTCTGTCTAAAATAACCCCTAGAAATTTGTGCTTTCACACAAGTTGTAAGGGCTTCATTAGTCCTTCCTTTCTTTGCACTTTCATTGCGACCATACTGGTTTAATTCTAGCACTCTACAGCATGAGCATGTCATGGCAGCAGCCGTGGCAACTCGTGATGTTCAAATTATTTGTAATCAAAATTATGGCTTTATTTGGCTGGTGAAGAGTGAGCAATTTCCAGCTGACTTGGAAACTTGATTGTTGCTGCACCCCATGGCTCACAGGAGCCTCGACCATTAATAGGCATCATTTTCTGACCATGTTCAGAATCTTCAGAAAGATACATCCTTGTCCTTGCACTCGTCAGAGTGGGAATTGTTCTCTTTGAGTATGAAGGAAAGAGTAAATTTAAGGGCTCGTTTTCTTTGTTACACATTATTATTGAGAACTAAGTTACTATAATGCCAGGGAAAGAATAGCAGTGGTTATTAGAAATTTTTGTAATGTAAATGAGAAGAAACAAAGTGGAGAAAATGATAACTTGCCACTGGCAAGATCTGAACCTGCGACCTTCAAATAACGCATTCAGTGCTCTACCACTGAGCTACAATGGTGGTTATCCCTCTGTCCACATTATACGGTATGTTTGTATTCGTTCTCATTAATATTTGTGTATGTAATTTACACATATATATCTTTACTGTTTCACTTTTATTTAAAACTACTGTTGTACGCGCATGTGCAGTAAGGCTGCCTTGGGCATTTATACTTGCATTGACAGCTGATGGAATAAAAAAAGCGGTTGATAGTCGGCACTCATGTGTGTCGTGTCTTTTCTATACAAGGCACTGCTACTTTCACCTCAAGAATACATGCCAACTGAACCCAAATGAAGTTTTATTCAAGTTAAAGGTCCATTCTCAATCTATACTGGTTACATTTCTAATTAGAGCTTGGTTTCCCAGCATATGGAAATCCACATTTCAGTTTTTAAAGGCTGTTGTTATGTTTGCTTTATTACACACTATCTTGGCAGTAGACCTGTACGCCGGTACCAAAATTGTCAGCGGCGGGACGCCAGTGTTTCCACCTTTAAAGGCAGGGCATCACCTGCCTTTAAAGGCAGGGGTGGGGGTGGGGGGGGAGTTGATAAACATAGAAACTTGAACTCTGAAAAAAAAAAAGTTTTTCCGGAAAGCGAAGCAGTTATCGTGGTAGCAACATGTATTTTTATGTTATTCATATACTTATAATTCTATCTCCATTTTCGTGACATAGAAAGTGTAAATACAAATTTATAGCTCCTTGAAAAAGTACAAATTAACAAATTACACCTTTACACAATTCTTTTTTCCAACTGCTCAGCACCAAATCTGTGCAGATACCCATCAAGGTCCTTCCAAAAAATGCATGTTTTGTAAAAAGTGAAAAACAAAGGAAAATGAAGACAATTCTGAATTGATCTAATGGGCACAATATTTAGAGGATCAAATAACCGTGTATGCTGTAAAAATGATGCAATGAAAGACATGGGTGCTAGAACACTCTAACCGGCGTGAACTCTTACTTATGCAGAAGGATGACACGATTGCAAAAGCGACTGTGTTCGAGAGGGGCTGCAGCGATAAAACAAGCGCATGCAAAGTAGACCAGAAACGCTGCTAATAGCGACAAAGTATGAGCACTATATTTTTTAACAGATTCTAAGATGGTTATGTCATGTTGTGGCGTGGCCACCAAACAACCAACGCATATTCAAGTCTGACCAAAGCATTATGCGCTGTCAGTCAGCATTTTTTTGCCGAGTTGTCTTATGTGTGTTGAAGGCACCAAAGTTTTGGAAGAGGTTATTGCACATTGTTCCGACGTTCGTGTGCCATCTTAAATCTGCTGTGAAAGTTACATCAGTTTATTTAAACTAAACAATACTTACATAATTACAACATCATTAGTATAAGTAAAATTAGGCTGTTTTTTATTTGTAAAGGTCATGACTACTGTTGGAAATGCACGTGCTCTTTTGTAGACAGTGAAAGAGACGACCATGTTCGGAGAGACTCTTGTGCAAGTTGGCCTGTATGGCATTTTTTTGTAGCCTGTGTAGCAGACTCGTGTTGCAGAACGGTGGTGCAGTATGCTAGAGCGGGTGCAGCACCGTATTGAGAGCACGGCCGCCTACTTTCACTCTAAGGTGCGTCTTTGCCATGAACTCAACCTGGACTTCAACAATACGCGAGAGCAAGTTTTATCATGGCTGAGGTCGCGCGAATTCTGCATCATGCTCTTGTGTCATATGCATCAAGATGATGACGACTTGCTGCACGACATCTTAGAGCTCGAACCCATCGAACTGGAATGAATACGGGTTTTCAGAACACTCAACTGAAGCCTAAAACCACCTTCAGGTTCAAAATGCTGCCTGCCCGCTACCACGGCAAAAAAATTGACGACCGACGCAAACTAAGGAGTGGAACGACGCCAACCATTGCCGCCCGTCGACTGACACACCACACCCGAGACTGACATCTACGCGAGATGTTGTCGTCTACTCTCAACAGGAAGCGCCCCGGCGGAAGCAGACGACGCCCCGAGTCTACAAGAACTGGAAGTCGTGCCTGATGCGACCCCCAAGGGACACGCGATCCCGTTTTTCAAACAAGCCCCGCCACATGTCGAGAATTTCGGACACGGCGAAGCACCGAAAACGAGGGTAGGCGAAGAACCCAAGGCGAATATGTCTGCAGGAGAAGCAAGAGACCCGAAAGACAAAGACACAGCTTGAACTGAAGGCAAAGAAAAGCAGACGAACTCCCAGCAAGGTGCTGCGAGAAAAGACAGCGAGGCAGAGAGAGTGAAGGGAAAACCCAAAGCGGTGAAAGAAACAACAGGAAAACGCGGCGAAGAAGGAAAGAACAAGAAAGAAGGTGAAGAAGTAGCCAACAGACAAAAGCCTTTATAAAGATAAGCAGGAGGAAGGTGAGGTTGAAGAAGACAAAAAGCCGAAGGACCAGCCAAGCCAAGAAGACATAACTGACGACAAGCCAGTGGTTAAATCTGGAAAAAGTGCCAGAAAAAGTCGGAAAAAGAGGACACGGTCATCGTAAAGCCGGGACCCAGCAAAGCAAGCGACTCGTCGTCCAAAGACTATTGCAATGAGGTGTTTCTGTGTGGTGCAAAACATTTTATTTCTTCACTTCGTGTTGTGGCTTTCTTCAAGGTCAAGCCAGTCAAGATGGCTGGAAAGTACATCTTGAAAGTTTCACGGTACGAACGGGCGAACTTCTGCGTGCCATGAAAAACTTGATGCGCCAGTGTATACGTATAGCTGTTTTTCATGTGTTGTTTTTGTTTCTTCTTTATGTTAATTGTTTCTTTCATGTGTCAATAAATAAGTATTTCATTTAAGAGGATGGCCGAACATTTGCATGATAAATCAGTCAAGAACATTCTTGGGATAGCCTTAACGAGGGCGTTAAGCGTTGCAAATTGGCCGGTGTTGGAAACGCACGTGCCCTTTTGTAGACAGTGAAAGAGGGTGACGGTGTTCGGAGAGACTCTCGTGCAAGTTGGCCTGTGTGGCGTTTTTTTTTTTTTTTTTTTGTAGCCTGTGTGGCGTTTTCGTAGCCTGTGTGGTTTTCAGAGTTTCTTTGTGAGTGCACTATTATTTTTATTACGAGGTCGGAGACAACACTACAGTCTTTTTTAAAGTTTGCCATGTTTCACTCTCGTTTCAAAATGGCGAAAAAAAATGCTATTCAGGGCATCCAGATCTTAAGTATCAGAGACAGTTTTTACAGATAACATCATTGTATGCATCCATTCTAAGATGCATTTGATTATCACCGATAATTTCTTCTCCATCATATATATAAATAAAAAGCAAAAGCAAATCAAGAACCGTGTCATGAAGCATCTTCCTGATGTGATATGTACTTCAGATGACTGCGTGTGATAAAACGTAACAAATGTTTAGCGTGACAGCTAGCAATCTGCTATCCAGTCAACCAGCTTGTTGAAGCAAAAAAAAAAAGTGATGAAGCTGAGAGTTTAGCATGGGAAAATATGCCGAATACCTTCGAATAGTGAATAAGTATGATATCAACCTGTTTTCGGTCGTTAAGGGAAAAAGCAATGTCGTGCGTAAACCTAAGAAACTGTGTAACTGTAGAAGTAGCCAGCACAAAAGCTGTGCTGTGGTCATGAAAGTATATTGTGTGCATGTATGTATTCTAGAATGTAATTGTTAATGATATGCTCCAAAAGTTCAGAGCTGGTGGAAGGCAAAAATATTGACTTTTGATATGGTATTAATTTTTTAATTTCTGGGCATAAATACGGCCACTACGTTTGTTAATTTCTACAGCTGGGGATTTTTTGCAGAGTTTATTAATTTTTTTTAATTTTATAGTAAAATAGTCCGCATAACATTTTGAATACCACTTTAGGAATCGTAATACCATCCGAGCCAGATTATTTTGAAATCTCAAGATTTAGTATGAGGTGATGTACTCCAGAGGAGTCTAATTTAATATTGGAAAGAGCAGGGAGTTTGGTGCACGCGGGAAATGGAGTGATGCCATTACCAGTGTAAAAAGACAGGTTTAAATAATTATCAAAAGTATTTTTACAGCTTGAGGATTTGAAGAGGGCTGGCCATCAAAAATAAGGATGAGGACATGGACGACGCAAAACCAATCGAGCTCTATAACCTAGATGGAGTTTTCCAGAAATGTAGCGAAGGCATTGCTGAAGTAGTTAACCTTACCTCTTTCATTTTAGCTTCTGGTTTACTTTTCAATGCATTAAATGAAGAAGCATTATCATTACACTTGGAATGACAATTTTACATAAGTGTTTTTTGACGAGCGAGATGAATTATATATTGGATTCTATTTATTATATACTTCAGGCTCGCACTTTGATAGGCATTCACGCACAATGTCACAAAACTTGAAAAGGAGTGCATCTATGTTGAAAAATTCGCTACAACGTTCAAATTTGTCAAAAGATGGGGCAAAAGCGATGAGTATGGAAGTGTTATCAACTTCAAGAAAGTTCAATACAGTTTTTTTTTTTCATGTATTCAGGGACAAAACGCTAAATTTTGGGTGACTTCAACAGTTTTATGGTCATAAAACCTTTGAAGGACTTCACATTTTACACCATACGATGGGAGCATGCAGCCCCGTAACAAACTTGGGCTGCAGCTAACTCTTTTTCATCTGATATCGCGCAACTGCAAAACGCCAGCATATGGGAATATGGCCACTCGCGGAAAAAGGGCAGTATTTGTGCAGAGATTTCATAGCGCGTAGTAAGGTACACGAGCTGTTCGCTGATGCTTGCTGAAATAGCGAGCGTGCTAGCACTCACAAGTGCATGCTTATACTCAAAGTTCACTGTTGTGGATTGAGCCACACGGCCTCCTACCTGGACATCTGAGCATTCGTCGCGCAAAAGAGAGACGGGGCTTCTTTTCTGGTTGAGGAGCAATCGTTGTTGGACATCGCACCTGGAGTGATGTTATCGCGTGCGCCCTCCGGTTGATGAAGATGGGCAGCTTGTTTCATCTTCAGCAGCTTGTTTCGTCAAGTTACTGAGTTGATCTTTATACAGAACATGAAAACAACGATGAAAGAACTTGTTTGACTAGTTGGTATAACATTTTAAAATGTTAATTCGAGCGCAAACACACGACACAATCACTCACACATGCACACCCAGGCATCAAACACATACAGCGCTCATTTCGAACCGATTTATTCATAGCTCGAAGGCTTGAATATATACATGACACGTGTGCACACTAACACCA